AGCCATTCTAGCAAACAATACCCCTGTAGGGACCTGTACTTCCCAATGAGCCTCAAACCTGGCTTAGGGCTGAACATTAGCTGCCATTACTTTCATAGTTAAACATTTGCCTTTCTTTGGCAGCAATGGCAATGGCAGCTAATGTTCATAGAGCATGTCACATGCATTAAGTCATTTAAGACTGTTCACTGAGAGATGTTTGGTTTTGAGTACATGTAAACTTCCTGTTTTTCAGTGAAAGTCAACAGGAAAGTGGGCTTTACTTTTCAGACTCAGTTTGGCTGGAATGGATAGTGTTTATTGGCAAGGACAGGGTTAGCTGTTTGGCCAGCACGCTAACTTAGGTGGATTTCCAGTAGTGTAAGGTAAGGGTCTCTGCAAGCCAAATAAAAGGCGTTCTGTTGACTTTTCATGCAAAGTCCGCTTGACTTGTTTTACTAATTTGAAAATCAGTGTTAATAATCAAAAGGACAAAGCATGTTGTCTTTTAAATTGTTTTCACTTAAAGCATTTTTTCTGCATAAAACTAGAATAAATAAAAAATTCATCTTTTTATAAGAAGATATTTTATAGCATGAATATGTTTCCTCTTATGAGATTTAAAAGCAAGTATTCCTTTAATGGTTGAATACACAGCATTTCACCAAAGATGCAAAAAATCATTTAGGATTATTTTATTCCAAAGGCTCCCTAAATATATTATCACAACATAAATTTACCGCTTGAGTCCAGAAAAAAAGAATCTATTTCCTGCCTTACGTAATAAGATGAAAGCTTGAAGGTAAAAAGAATGAACAACCATGTGAGAGATTGGGTATGTACATCTTTTAAAATTAGGTCTTTATTCTTCACTGGCACTTCTGAACTCAATAGTGCTACAACCAGGCTCCCTCATAAAAACAGATAATAAGAATTCCTTATCATAATGTCCTGGAAGTCCTAGAAGCACAAAATCGAGGAGTAAATAAATCATAAACTAAACTTCAACTTTTGAGCACCGTGCATTTTTAAAATGCTGAATGTAAGGCTTTTAGTCCTCTTTATATAGGATAAAGTTATTAAGCTTTTCAAAAATATGGAATAGTTTAAATTCCTTTCTAAAACCTCTGCCCTGTGTCGACTTACCATTTACACTGTGGCACAATTCAGAGGAGTTGATTAGCGGGGATATTTTATGGCTTAGCAAAGCATAATACTTGTTGAATAAATGAAGCCCACTGCTTTGAATAGTCCACCATAAAGTTGCACTTCCTGATTCTACTGCTGCCTACACAAGAGATTTGACTTCTCCTCCTTCTTCACCCCAAAGTCACCCACCTCTCCCATGTGTCCCTGAAGTCTAATGACAACATAAAAAGGCGGCAGAAAACCAAAAGCGGGGGAGGACTTTTTGAATGTTCTTAGATACAAATCCAGGCAAGTAAAAAACTATGACAAGAACAACAGCAACAAGAAACCATGGATACTGATGATCTCTTGACCTGCTCCTATATTCCTGGAATCTTTCTGTAAAGGAGATAATTTCAGTCTGCCGTGTAATTATTCCTACTTACCGAGGCCTATTTCAATTTGAATCCTACTGCAGACTGAAATATGCCAAGATCTTTCATTAACACGCCATAGATTTTCTTTTCATTATAAATCAAACTAAATAGGTCATGATTGCTTAATCAGTATGCAAAGTATTGCCTCTGGGAATCACACATATCCTCTGACAGCTACAATTTTTTTTTAGTGCTTTGAAATCTAATTCTACCCAACCTAACCCGATCAACAGCTCATCATTTCTTCACATCAAATTTTTCATCATATGAGGTGTAGATTTTGTTCTGGAATGGGTATCATGAACAACACTAAGAGCAGGGGTTTAATTAATTCATAGGGATACAGATTTTGTTATCGCTTCTCCATATAATTAAGGCCCTCTGCCTTCCCTCAGTAACTAAGAAGAGAGGGTTGGAGACAGACCCTTTCCCAAAATTTATGGTTGATAGACTTATGTCTACTCTTAAAGAGAGGGATTGGTTCTTCCCTACAAAGGAAAGTTCACTTCAGTCCGAAAGGTTAGTGAGTTCGTGACCATTTATATTTATTAAGTAATCTCCAAGGAAATCTCATCTAGTCATCCAGCGCTCGATGAATCCCAAATGTCCATTTCTGCCTTAAACTTTTCCACTGAGTTGTCCTCTCAGTCTATAAATTTGTTTATATCCTGGGCATTTCAGACATTATAGAGCCAAAACAAATTCTTGGGCTTCTCCTCCAGACTTGTTTCTGAATCTGTCTCACAGCAGCAAATAATCACTTGATGTCTACAGAGTGTCAGAGGCTGTCCTGCAGGCTTTACAAACGTTAACTTACGGAATGAATCTGCACTACCTATGGGATTGGTATTAAGATGATCTGCCTTCATGAATGCAGCAAGGCCTAGATTTCAACCCAAGCAACGGTGAGCCTAGTAAATACAATGCTAGTAAACAGTTCTGACGCTCACTCATGTCTACGTCTAGCCCAAGTCAAAGACCTAGATATCACACTGGGTCCTACTATTTCCTTCATCATCCACCTGGAAACCACTGCTGGTCTGTTCTCCAAATCCTTTCTATCCTCCTTGTCCAGGATTTGTCAAACAGACAAACAAACAACAACAATAAAACTCAAACTCTGTCTTCCTAACTAGACTCTAAACTCCATAACCCCAGGAAATAAATCTGGGCTACTCATCCAGCAAAATGCTTTACATTAAGTAGACCACCTGGCTATAAAACCAACTTGTGGCTGGGCGCCGTGGCTCATGCCTGTAATCCCAGCACTTGGGAGACCGAGGTAGGTGGATCAACTGAGGTCAGGAGATCAAAACCAGCCTGGTCAACATGGTGAAACCCCATCTCTACTAAAAAATACAAAAATTAGCTGGGCGTGGTGGTGGGCACTGGTAATCCCAGCTACTCGGGAGGCTGAGGCAGGAGAATTGCTTGAACTGGGGAGACAGGGGTTGCAGGGAGCAAACACGGTGCCACTGCACTCCAGCCTGGACCATAGAGTGAGACTCCATCTCAAAAAGAAAAAAAAAATTGTTTTTCAAACATGGAAATACACAAATTAGACATTATTCCCTGTGGGAAGAGGCTAGAAACCTTCCTTGAACTTGCCAGTCCTACTTCCAGTCCCAGGAGGAATATGAATCTCTCCCCTCCCTTCCCCAATCAGACCTTGCACAAACTTGACACTCCCTCTGCTAGACATTCCCACTTCCCTGCCAGGGACCGTTCTCCTTCAGCAACAGAATTGCCAGCATTGCCCTGCCTTTCATTTGATTAGTTTACTTATGCAATGTGATTAGGAAGGCCAAGCAGGAAGGTCTTCCTGGTTCTTATACCCCACAGGGAAGTTCAGACCAGTGTAATATGAAGCCCTCAGGCCTGGATTAAATACAGAGGTGACCAGACCCAGAGAATTAAAGATTGTTCAGCCTTCCACTGTCAGGGCCATTAGTTGGTATTGGCCACCAAAGTGGAAAGACAGTGGCCAAAACTACGAACAGATAAGCTTATTTAATTTAATGCCTAACATCCAGTTATCCTTTCAGGAGATTGTTCATATGGTGTTGCAATTTATCTTTTAAATTGCTGCACATCAATTTGTGGTTTCTTTTTTTTTTTGCATAATTGCCATCATTAGGTTGGGGAAGGTTGATTGGCTTGTGGAGATAAACTGACAAGCTCCCTGGCCCCATCCTGCCTGACTCTGGGCTGTGCTCTGAACCTAACTAGTTGAGTTCTTGGGGTGCACAGGCATATAACCGAATAGGACTGCTAGGCCATATTTAGGGGGAGAGAAACATTCTCATTCTTGTGGAAACTAAAAAAGTTGGGGAGATACGCTCATTTTAGACCCAACTCCTCATACCAAGGACATTTTCACATAAGAGCAAAAAGTCTTACACCTTAGTTCTTAGGAACCAGCAGGCAAAGTTGGCTGCTGGCAAAACTGAAATAATTGCTGTCAATAATTGCTGTACCTCTTCCTACTATCAGGTCTCTCTATATCTAGGAGAAAGACAGAAAAATTGACTCCTACTTAGGTATTAGGAAAGCAATATCTTTCCCTTCCAAAGTGTGATAGTAGAGAAGAAAATGCATAACCCAAAGACAATTTCTTGATGGTGAAATTTGGGATGAAAGTTAAGGCTAGGGATAAAGCCTCTGTGATTTCCTCACCAGCCCCTAACCCCCAACACACAAAAAGAAGAAAAGTCACATCACATATGTGAGGTACTCCCCTTTGGTACAAGACTCCCTGGCAGGTAAAATATTTTACAACATTAGAAAAGTACCATCATCATTAAATATTTCATGCAACTTAAGAATAATCTAATAAAAAAGGTGTGATTGTACATTAATCAAGATTATTCTGTACCTTGCCTAACACAAGACAAGATGATAATGGCAAAGCCAAAACCATTTCTATTGGTCTAAACCCAGCTCTAAATATTCCCTAGAATAGTGAGAATGAAAAGTTCAAAACAAAAGATCAGAAGTACAAGATTTTCTTTGTAAATCAGTTGCCAGCAAGTCAATATTGAAACTGCCAATCACTTTTGGAAGACATACATAATAAGTGTCAAGTGTGCTGAGGAGAAAACACCTTCCCATTCATAGTTTTTATAAGAAAAAGTAAAAAAAAAAAAAAAAGTATATGTATATTTAACAAATGTTTAAAAATATAAAGAGAAAAACATTTAAACAATACAACTTAGTAAAAGTAGTCTGAGTGAAAATAGAGTTTCGGTGAATGAAGTTTTATCTCATGAAGCTACCTTATAGTCTACTTCACATGCAACATACTTAATGATTATTCATATTTCTTTGCTTTGCCTCTAGAGAAAGTATTTTTTTCCTAGCGTCATGCACCAAATCAGCCTTGTATGAAAAACACAACACAACAGAGTGAGGAACCAGCAGGCTGAGTTAATAAAACACTGTTCGTATCATACTTACGCAGTGGTAGTCTGCATGTCATGCCAGCTTTTGCTGAAGTTCTGTTTTAATTCATTCATCAGGTTCATGCCGAGTTTTTGTTTTATCTCAACCAGATGCCTTTCTTTCGCTGACAAAACTTGTCGTAGTGTTGTAATTTCGTCTTCTAGCTACAAGGAGGAGGGGAAATGGTGGGGGAAAATGTCAGACCAGCAAAAAAGGATACTTACAGAAGCTCTGGGTGTTCCAAAGCAGCCTCTGACCCTCCTAGTTCTACAATCCCACGTGCGGCTTTGCCAAACAAATCCCATACAGGTGATAGTCTTAATGTCTCCAAGTAGAAACAGGATTTTTCATTTTAATCATTAGAGAAGTAATCAATGCTGCTTGTTAAAAAGAAGTCAGATTGTACAGAAAAACATAAACAAGAAAATAAAAGTCAGCAGTAACCTACTAGGAAATAGCTATTGCTTATTTTTTGTTCCTAAACTTCCAAATGTTATTTATATAAGTTGTATATAAACATAATTTTTAAACAAAAATTGGTTTTCTATTGTACTCTTATTTTATATAACTTCTTCACAAGTGTCACTAGTCAGTGTTTATTTTTATTTAGTTATTTATTTTAAAGAGACAATGTCTCACTATGTTGACCAGGCTGGTCTCGAACTCTTGGCCTCAAGGGATTCTCCTGTCTTGACCTCCCAAAGTGTTGGGATTACAGGTGTGAGCCACCACACCTGGCCTCAGTGTAGTTTTTTGCCAGCCACACACAGTTGCATTGGTGCAGGAATAGAATTGGCAAGCAATGGGGTTTTGCCAATCTAAAGCCTTAAGAAAGGGAGGAAAACAGGAGTAGAGGATGTATGTAAAGGAATGATTTGTGATAATTTTCTTTTTAACAGTTTTATTGTCCTATAATGGACATACAATAAGCTGCAGACATTTAAAGTGTATATATATAATTTGTAAGCTTTAATGTATGTATCTACCTGTGAAGCCATTATCACAATCAAGGTAGTGAACATATTCATCGCCTTTTAGTTGCTTTTTGTCATTCCTCCCTCCCTCTTCTATCCTCTCCCCCAATCCACCCTCACCAGACAGCCACTCACTTACTTTCTTTCCCTAGAGTTTAGTTTGCAGATATTTCCTAGAACTTTATATCAATTGAGTCATAGAGTATATACTCATTTTTGCTTGGCTTTGCAGCATAGTTATTTTACATTCATCTATGTTGCTGCATTACCAATTGTTCTTCCCGTTTTTTCACAGAGTAGTATTGCACTGAATGGATATACCGGGTGTGTTGTTTATTTACCTATTGAAGGACATTTAGGTTTGGCTAACGCAAATAAAGCTGCTATGAACATTCATGTATAAGGCTTCGTATGGGCATGTTTCCTCTTTTCCCTGTGCTACAGAAAAGCAGATCTCTTCAGCACTATAAAATTGCTCTTGCAAATGTAATTTCTAACAAAGGGGCTCTGTAAAGCACTCAGATTTTGAAAAGCGCTGTTTTATCCTGTGAAGATAAATCTGACTAAACCACAAAGTCTTTGATTTTAATTATTTGTTATACTCTATAACTTATTGCTCCAGTAACAGTGCTTACATTTACATTTTTGTTTTTTGAAAAGTATAAATGCTTGTTACTTTTTCTTGTTAATGCAGAAAAGATTCATTAGAACTACCTTAGGATTCCCTATGCATGGAGGTAATAAAAGTCTGTCACTTTAGTAGATTTCTTACTAAATTTTTTTTAAAAGGAGTAAATGTGGCTCATTTACATGTAAAGTATCACTCTACTTTGGACCACAAGGTGCATCACACCAACCCTGTCAGCCTGTCAGTCATCTTGCAAACACATTCCTTGGATCACCAGAGACATAGCTCCTAGGAAAGCAGCTCAAGAAAGGCATCTGCCTCTGCAAAAACAAAACATGCAAAACAAACAAAAAACAAAAACCCACCACAGTCTTTTACTAGCCCCAGTAGTGAACACACAGGAATGGTTCTGTGAAACTTTACATACACAAATAATGATGTAAGCAAAACAAGCAGAAATACTGAATCACAAGCATCTTAAATACCACAGTAAGAAGTAACAATATCTTGGGGTTTTTAATATCAGCAAAATGTCCTGGCAACTTAACATTATACATTTCTTTATGTTCATGGAACGTTTTTTATATGTACATGGAAATCTTTCTAAAATGAATTACACATTCTACAAACATAGTATAATCAATAGAACCTTCTCTTTCTTTGATGAGCAAGAGTCTTCAGTGTGCATACATACACTGATTACTGCAAAAGGAGTAGATTCAGGGACCTCCAAAGAGAAGAATGATTTTAGTCTCTCCATTAAATGAGAATACACTATTATTTTAAAATTAAACGCCTCCATTCTTTTGTTATCATGGGATATTTCTTTTTCATCTTTATCAATGTGTCCTCCTCCATTTAATCTGCTGCCCAATATTTCTCATGGTCGTATCTCTTGCTCTTTTGCCACAGAAAATCCTTGGGGTTCATGTCAGCCTTTTATTCTCCATTAAAAAGTCCTTCTCTGCTTTCTTTCATTTAGAGTGACTGAAATTACTGGGAGTCTGTTTTTTTGTTGTTGTTGTTTTGTTTGTTTTTTGGTATATTGAGTATTACTATATTTTCCGCTGTGCAAAAAATATAATGGGAAAAATTTTAACTTGCTGAAATAAATTACAGATGTACACAAGGAGAAAGAAGCTTGAACATCTTAATAGTCTCAACCTCACAGCCATAGAGTCCCATAAGTGTATTAAAAATCACAGGGGGCTGTGGATTATTCATTTGTTATCTGGAGGTAGGGAGTGAGTAAAGGATTCAAAGTTACTGTTAAATTTTTAATAAAATCTTGATCCCCAAAAAGTGATAGAGAGAAACATAAGGTGACCAACTTACCAAACATTATTGTAAAAAAAGAAATATAAAGTCCCATACTTAATAATTTAAAATTTCAGGCATACTTTAAAAGGTGTGTATGAGGAAGAGGCCTCTAATAATGAAGACATGGAGTCAGCTATTTAAATTGGGTGTATTCTCAGATTCCATAATAATATTCTAACCATTTCAATGCAATGTAAAGACTCACACTTCTCAAAACATTCAGAATATTTATCAGACATCTAAATATATGCCAAAAACTCTATTAAGCAAATACCCAAAGTTGGAAAAACAGGCAATCTTTAATTACATTAACTTGTAAGGTTCCAAAGGGTCAAGCACTTCTCATTGTACAGAGCCAAGAGTCCTACCACAACGAGGTGTTTAATTACAAATACCTTAAAGGCTGCTGCTGCTGAACTTCAGTCCTTTATTTGACCAAGATCATTTGGTCTAGTTATCTCAGAGGCTCTCAACTTCACTTTAAATAAGATAGCATATTTAAAATTCAGATTCCTAGGCATCTGCTGCCTTTTAAGGCCCTAAGGGTTCAATGCCTTAGATTTGTTGGAGGCAGACTACTTACGTTATTTAGCAAGCACCCTCAGATATTCTAATGCAAGAAGTATGGAAACTCTATATTGTGAGTACTTCTGTAAGCCACATCAAATTTGGAATGAGATGAAGTGGAAGTAAATCACATTAATGAATTAAAGTATTTAATATGTCTTTTTCTTTTAATTTAAAATAATTATTTCTTCATTACAAATTAATGGTCTAGTTCTTTGCTTTCCTGACTCCCTAGGAGAAAATATTTATGCCCAAGATTAGATATTTAAGCTTGATTATTTAAATATGAATTAACAGGAAAATAACAAGTATTGACAAAGATGTGGAGGAATTGGAACCTTTGTACATTACTGGTAGGAATGTAAAATAGTTCCTCTACTGTGGAAAACAGTTGGGCAGTTTCTCAGAAAGTTAATTCTGGACCCAGCAATTCCACTCTGAGGTGTATCAAACAAATACATAGACACACATGTTCATAGCAGCACTATTCACAATAGATTAAAGGTGACTACAACCCAAATGTCCATCAAGAGATGGATGGATAAATAATAGTAGATAAATAAAATTGAATATGATTCAGCCATAAAAACAATGAAGTACTAAATCATGCTCAAAACATCAGGCTGAGTGAAAGAACCCACACACAAAAGGTCACATACTGTATGATTCCATTTACATGAAATATCAGGAATAGGTAAGCCCATAGAGATAGAATGAAGCCTGATGGCTGCCAGAGCCTGGGAAGTGGGAAATGGAAGCAACTCCTTAATGAGTGCAAGTTTCCTTTCAGGATGGAGGAAATATTTTGGAACCAGGCGGATGTGGTGGTTACACAACACGACATTGTGAGTGTACTAAATGCCACTGCATGGGTCACTTGAAAATTGATACTTTTATGTTATATATATTTATCTCAAGAAAAATGCAAAAAAAAAGTGAACTAGTCTGAATCAGCTAATGAATTGCTTCAGTATGAAATTTCTAAAAAATTTTTTCTATTTTATCTGCTAGATTACATAAAGTTTCTAACTGCAACCCAGAAGAAAAAATACTTTCATAAACTAGGAATCATCAGTATGTTGCTGAGGAGTAACCACATCTGGTCTCATGTGCACATGGCTTCAGGTTTGCCTCTCTGGGCTACTCTTCCTGCCTTTGGCTAAGAGACCCAAGATTAAACTGCAGATACTGTCTGGGAGGGGCGTAATAATAAGATGTTATGGTTATGAACACATTAGCCATCCACTAGCTGGGTCTACAAAGAGTTAAGGTCTTGAGGAAGGAGCTGAGAGAGAGAGAGGCCCAGAGCCTAAGGCACTTCTTTGCAAGTGTAAGACACAGTTAGATTGAGGGCACTGGGTGTCTGGGACCCACACACACAAAAGGGAGAGGAAAGAGTCAAAGGAGAGATCGAAGGAGCATGAAAATAGGCTTTACCTACTTAATAATGCTGTCTGGTATTTTTCCTATTCCTATTAATGCCTATTTTTTCTTAAGTCATCTTATCTCAGGGACGTTGGCAGTATTCGGTTGTTATATAATCACAAATTTGCAGTACTAATGCCAAAACTTTATCCTTTTCGAAAGGCAAGACACATTATGAAAATGAAATACTAAACATAAAATGCAGCTTAGTGGAATTAAACTGGGAGTGGGATGATAGTGGCACAGAATTATTGGGCAAGTGTATTTAAAAAGAGAGAGGGAAAAAAACCCAGATGTGTAAAGACCTCAGAAAAGCTCTCTGGTAATAAGACTAATGAGAACAAATATCTAAAACAAAAGAGTACTTCTTTATTTATTGACAAGTTTTGTTTAAAACAAAAAGCGTATTCTACTTTTGGCATTTACAAATATAAATGTTCATTTAAAGTATAAAATAATTCAAGTTAATTATAAATATTAACTACACACCTCCTGTGAATGAGCCACTGCACCAGATCACAGGTAATATTGGCCTCGCACTTGACGAACTTTAAAAAAGACACATATTGCATGACCACAACAATAAGTTAAAGATCATATTATGTTAAAAGAGAGTTCTCTTTTTTTGTTGTTGTTGTTGTTTGGTTTGTTTTTTGAGATGGAGTCTTACTGTCTCCCAGGCTGGAGTGCAATGGCGCAATTTGGCTCACTGCAGCATCTGCCTCCTGAGTTCAAGCAATTCTCGTGCCTTTGCTTCCTGAGTAGCTGTGATTACAGGCACATGCCACCAGGCCTGACTAATTTTTGTACTTTTAGTAGAGACAGGGTTTTGCCATGTTGGCCAGGCTGGTCTCGAACTCCTGACCTCTGGCGATCCCCCCGCCCCCCACCTCAGCCTCCCAAAGTGCTGGAATTACAGGCGTGAGCCACCATGCCTGGTCAAGAGATTCTTCTTTCAAAACGCTGAATTTGTCCAAGATGTAAGCCTTTTGGACACTAATGGCTTATTTTACATCTACCAAAAGAAGTCTTCCTCTTGCCAGCACTCAGTAAGCACACAAAAATACGTTGGCTGTCTGGGAGAATGGAGTTATGAGATTGGTTGAAGTCTAAGGACAACCTCATGGGAATATTATCGACAAGGTAAGACAGAGGGGAGGGAAGAGAAGGAAAGCCGGGAGGAAGAAATCCAACATAGCCAGAAAGCAGTAGGAGGTGTCAATCTGAATAATAAAATGGATCAGAAGCCAGTTTAAGAGTTAATCCAAGTGAAAAGCTAACTATAGACATTTGGGAAATACAGACTTTAAAGGAATGGGGTAAGTGCTCTGAAACTGAAAAGTTAAGGTCTTATTTATATAGGCAGAATACAGCAAAGTGTAATAGGATTACAGCACATTCCATATATGGCTGGTTTATGAGTTACAGCAATTTGATTAGTTACAGCTTGTTTTCTTTCTCTTTTCCAATTTAGAAGTATATGTTTAACATGCCATCTTAGACAATCTAAGGTGTTTGTGTAAAAGAAGAAAGAAGTTAATCTCTAACAAAGAGGTCTTCTCTGGTGCCCTTCAGTCTCATAACATTTTAGAGAACAATGCAGGTGACCAAAAGGCTACTCTATAATCAGAGAAACAGGTTACAGCTGCCTGGGTTACAGCTGCTTGTTATGTGACTCAGGTCCCGTAATTACATTCCTTTAAGGCTCAAAATGATTTAAAGTTCCAACAGCTTTGATTTTGAATTATTTATTTCACAGAGGAGATGAGGAAAGTAGAGAGAGATAAGAAACAAAGAGGAGCCTGGACACCTGGCACACTCAAGAACTCTTCAACAAAGCAGCCAGGGGTCAGAAGTCCCCGTACACACAGATCTTGCTTTGAATCATGACCACAGTTGAGTGCCTGACTCCAAGGCCATCATCTAATAGGCTGTTCTCTGAGGTATCTTTGGTACCCAAGAAGCTAACAGACCCAGTAGGATCTTCCCTCAGACAGAGAGAAGAGTTGCTTGTGACCAGGGGCCCATAAAGAATCTCTGTGGAGATTTGGGACAGAGGAGCTGACTCTCTATAGAATGCTTCAGTTCTTCATAAGGCCAGCAGTGAGACTGCAGAGATGCCTTTCTGTGTGTCATTGTTAAAATTAAAACCAGCACTGAAGGTAAAATCTGAATGCATATGGGATATTAAAGAACTTGAGTTCCTGTGTCCACACATCTGCAAGCACACTTGTAAAAGGGCAAGGAAAGCAGTTTTAAAAACAGAATGAGCATAAAGCAGAGGTGGCCTGACATGGAGGAGGAAAAAGAGAAATGTGAAGAAGAAAATTCGCAAAGATCCGCCTCTGCTTTTCACTGGGCCTGGGGCAGACAGCTGTGCTCGTGTGCCTCTGGAAGTCATGATGCTACCTTTGGCAGCATGAGGTACTTCTTCATCTCTGAAGAACCCAAAAATAAGAGCCAGGAAGCATGGAGCCTAGTGCAAAACATGAATCCTGGTAACCTGAACACAGTAACAAAGAGTCTGGTGTTATTTCTCAAAGTCAGGCTCAAAATCCCTTAGTAATGAAATGTGCTGGAAGTATATTACTATGGCCAAATGAGACAGGAATTTCTGAAAACACTTCTAGCTTTTTATATTCATGGGGCATCCATTTAAAACCAATGCTTACTTTTTTCTTGGTTATAAAAGTAATATCATGCTCACCGTTGACATTTAGAAAATAGAGAACGTACAAAAATCAACATATATTAGCATATGTATATACCCCAGTAATCCTAACACCCAGAAAAATAAAAATCAAGGCGTTTTATAGCAATTGGTCTGTTATAGACGTTGTACCTGAACTTAAACTAGCATTATCACCGCAATGGAGTGAAGTTTTAGCTGAGACTCAGTTGGCTTACCCCAGTCTGCAGAGCATGACATTTGGACCCTGCGGTTGACATGAACTAGTCATGATCCAGAATTTCAGGCCATAAGAACATGTGGAGTCAGTTCATTCTCTGTTGATGCTAACTTTGGTCTGTGCACTGCAGTATGCGTAGCCATTCAGCGGCCACAGACAGACCCAGCTAAAGATGTGAGGCACTGTGCTTACTGAAACCAGAGAAATGTGCTGCTTTTTTATTTTGAAATGAAATTAATTTGGGAGTGTGTCTTGTAAGAGCACTTGAAAGTCTTTAACATTATTCTGAGCTGTCATAGACAAACATTCTCAGGAGGTTAGAACGGAGTTCAGAGTGGACAAAGCAGGAAGAGGGTAAGGTGGAGCTCAGAGCTCTGTTCTCAGCCTGTGGAGAGGCCAAAGCAGGAAGGCAACCTTGTTTCTGAGGGAACAGGATCTTCCTGGCCTACGAGCCAGGACACACAACGGGGGGGAATGCTGGCCTTGGCTCCTCTGGCTCTGCTGCTGCATCCTACTCAAGGAGCCCTTTCTACAACATTCTCCTCCTAGAAAGTAAAGGTTTCTCAGCAAAGTGTCTAAAGTGGGTATTGCAAACAAAAGCCTTAAACAAAGAATTGTATTCATAATGAGCCTAACATCCTCCTTCTCTCTAGGTCCAGATGCCCACAGCAGCTACACAAGATCTAATGAGGCCTCGATGAAGCAAAGCTTTCCTCTCTCTCCCCAGAGCTTTATTTTTCTGCCAAAAAGTATACAACTTATAAATTTGGTTGCTTCTATGATTGACTTTTTCATTAAAAAAATCATTTCAAAATAATTGTTGAGCTAAGTTGCTGACCTAAAACCAGAACCAAACTTCAAAAGGATCTTGCACCTATAACATGGTCTGGAATGAATTCCAACAGGTTTTTAAGTTGATTTATTATTCCCATAGTATTCTGATAGTTAAAAAGAATAAGAAGTGCAAAGTTAAAACTAGTTATTATTGTTGCTTAAGCAGCACAACGATTCGTTCTACAACTGTAACCAACAGGTAATAGACAACATTAGAAAAACGCTCTGAAAAAAGGCATCATCTTGCAATGTATTCATTTATAAATTTTATTAAATGAAAGACAACACAATTGCAATATGGGACTTGTATCAAACTAATAACTCTCAAGATCCAGAGATAGAAATTGCAACAATAAGATTACTAAACATACCTGCACTAACTCTGCCTTTAACTCTTCCTTTTCCTCCTCAGAGAGCATGCTAGAGTAGTCAGCACTGGCTACTGCGTCTTCATCTCTTCCTTGCAATGGTTCAGTCTCCAGCAAACCTTTAGGCAAAATTGATAAAACAGAATGCAATTTTTAAAGTGAATTTAAACCAACTTCTGCTTCCATAGTGTGGAGGACTAGATGCACTGACAGACCCTCCCACTGAAAAACAACTAAAAATTCCAGAAAAGACAAAAATCCTCCTAAATGTGTGATGAGCTCCAAGAAAGTAAAAAATACCAAAAAGCCAAAAAAATTAAGAGAAAATGGGAAGGCAGAGATGTAAACAGGACAAGCTTTCAGGGAGGTCTACATTCACCACTTTGGTGAATTCCAGCTCAGCTCTTCACTGTCTCATGGGGTGCAGGGGCAGAGGACAAAGCCCAAGGCCCACCCATGGAGACAAGTTTAATGTGAGACTCCTGTGTAAATTGGAGGCCCCACAGGGCTGCATCCTGAGAGTAAGGTGAACTAGAAATAAATAACTTAATTCTTCACACAGAGATCTGCAAGGCAAGTTGCCCATCTTGAAACTCAGCACTGAATAGACAGAAAAAAAATCCTCCCCTGAGAACTGATGACCCTGAGTGGGACTGTATGGGAAAGCAGCTTGCAACTTAATGCACACTCCCTGGGTGGTCCAAAACAACCTCAAGGTTAGAATTTAAAATATGAAGGCCTTTGTTTTCCACTGCAGGTGCGGCTAGAAGTAGCTGGGGCTGTGAGGAACCATTACTGATAAACTGACTCTGGCAGAGGATAATATGGGAAGAGCTGGGGTTCTCAATGCCATCATCGTGCCCCAGGATAACCCAGAAAGCTTCTAACTTGTTATGTGAGATAAATTACTAGTCGTTTAAAATATGAACAAGTTTCTTGATAGGGCCCCTCAACATCTGGCTGACTTAAATGCCTGCGTTCTCTGGGGAACCCAGGAAACAGGCCCACACTCCTAGGAAACTTCATCTATGATGTGATTCAAGTCAGAGCTGGCATTTACACCTCTGCAGGGAAAGGAAATGAGACAGCCAAGTACAAAGGGGTTCCTGGAGAAACTCCCACCGGCCTGCTCACTGGGAGAACAGGTTGAGCCACGGAAGTTCATGCCAGAAGTTTGTACCGTTTGCCGGGGGTGGGAGCCTGGCCTTCCTTGTTCTGGGGTGGTAACTGAGAATTCCATCTGTGAGATGGGGGCTTGTTAACAGGAACCTCTCTTGCTTTACTGAGTTTTTCTTTCCCTCTTTGCCCAATGAATTCCATTTTTCTCACTCTTCAAAGTGTCTGCAAGCCTAATCTTTCATGGTCGGGTGAAAAGAACCCCGTTTTTAGCTGAACTAAGGAGAATGTCCTACAACAGAAGGGTTTTTAATAAATTGTCCTGGAACAGTTATCCCTATAGAAAAAAACACATTGGACACCTTTAAACTATTCACATGGACAAAACCATAAACATTTTAGAAGACAATCTAGGAGTTTGTGTTTCTGAACCTCTGGGTGGGAAGAGACTTCTTAAACAAGACATGAGAAGGCAAACCATGAAAGAAAGGATGAATAAGATTAAGAATGTCTCTTTATCAAACACACTACGTGGAAAATGAAAAGACAAGCCACTGATTGGAAGATGATATTTCGCACATATATAACTAAAAAGATTTGTTCCCAACATATACAGACTTCTTACAGACCCACTTTAAAACCAGAAGTAATCCGATAGAAATATGGGCCAAAAGATCGGAACAGATGATTTATCGGCAGAAATCACAAATGTTAATAAACCTAAGAAAACATGCTTGACGTCACTGATGCTCAGGGAAATACAAATTAAATTATTTCAAGCTCAGTAGATTGCCAAAAAGTTACAAGTCTGACATTACTAATAACTCTCAAGATCCAGAGATAGAAATAGCATCAATATGTTGCTATTGCTGGCAAGAATATAAATAGTTAAAAATAATTTGAAAATGATTTAGTATTATCTACTTTTTCATTTAAAAAATCCATTTTTATCTATTAAAATTTTATCTATTAAAATTGAACATCCACATACCCTACAACCCAGCAATTCCACTATGTATAGACCTGAGACAATCTGCATGAGCATTAGCTACTATACATGCACATCAGAGGCCATTAATGAAAGCTTTCATAGTAGCAACAAACTGTAAGTTACCCAAAAGTTCATAAACAGGGCAATATATAATGATACTGTGGTATTTCCATGTTGAAGACTTGATAATAGCAAAATGAGTGGACGATGACAATACATATTACATGGATAAAACTTGGAAATAAGATATTGAGTGAAAAACACAAGTTGCAAAAGAGTAAGTATAATTTTACTTAAATGAAGTACAAAAGCATACAAAACTGAAATATTACTTAGGAATTAAGGGCTGGGTGTGGTGGATTAGGCCTATAATCCCAGCATTTTGGGAGGCCGAGGTGGGAGGATCGCAAGGTTAAGAGATCGAGACCATCCTGGCCAACATGGTGAAACCCTGTCTCTACTAAAAATACAAAAATTAGCTGGGCATGGTGGCGCCCACCTGTAGCCCCAGCTACAGATGCACTTGAATCATCTCCAAACCATTGGGAGGCTGGGTGGGGCAAGAGAATTGCTTGAACCCAGAGGCAGAAGTTGCAGTGAGCCGAGACAGTGCTGCTGCATTCCAGCCTGGCGACAGAATGAGACTCTGTCTCAAATAAAAAGAAAAGAGAGGCAATAATAAAAAATTCAGGACTGTGGTTTTCTCAAGGCAGGGAGAAATGGAGAAAGAAATGGCAGATCTTACTATAGGGCAGGGGTCCCCAAACCCTGGGCCACCGACCAGTAACATTCTGTTACCTGTTAGGGGCCAGGCCACACCACGGGAGGTGAGAGGTGTGTGAGCTGGCAAAGCTGCAACTGTATTTATGGCCACTCCCCATTGTTTGCGTTACCACCTGATCTCTGCCTCCCATCAGATCAGTGGTGGCATTAGATTCCCAGAGGAGTGAACCCTATTGGGGAGTGTGCCTGGGAGGGATCTAGGTTGCATGCTCCTTATGAGAATCTAATGCCTGATGATCTGTCACAGTCTTCCGTTTCCCCCAGATGAGACCATCTAGTTGCAGGAAAACAAGCTCAGGGCTCCCACTGATTCTACATTATGGTGAGTTGTGTAATTATTTCATTATTACAATGTAATAATAACAGAAATAAAGTGCACAATAGATGTAATGCACTTGAATCATCCCAAAACCATCACCATCCCCTGTGTCCATGGAAAAATTATCTTCCACAGAACCAGTTCCTGGTGCCCAAAAGGCTGGGGACTGCTGCCTTGGGACTGTTTCAGGGTCAATGGTCATACTCCATTTCTGGACACTGAATTTCTGTTCATGAGTATTTTCTCCACTTTACCTTTATATTGTAAATATTTTTTTGTGTACTTATGATTATTTACTAAACAAATGAAAATGGATTTTATCTGAAGTCAAAGAGAAAGGTAAATAATTATCCTACAAAATCAGAACATTTTAGATAAAGAGAATAAAAATATGGCTGCAGTGTGTATAGCTCTGAAGCTGGCCCTTCTCTTGAATCCCTGGTGTTCACATCCTTTTGTCTGGATCAATAGTGTGCCATTAGCTCCCTGACGTCACTGCCAACACGCTAACACACAGTAGTAAACGTGGCGTATTGCTGATTCACGTTCATCATCTCTTCGTTCCTTCTCTCTATGCCAGAAGCCAGTTTCAATGCTAAGTAATTTCCTTTTTCGTAAGTAATATCTGGCCATCATAGAAGATAGTAAGATAAAATTATCACTTTTTTTTGTACTTTTTTCTTTTTTATTTGTATAAATTTTTTTTTTAATTTTTAATTTTTGTGGGCACATCATACGTATATATATTTATGGGTTACATAAGATATTTTGATATATACATATAATATGAAATAATCACATCATGGAGAATGGGGTACCCATCCCCTCAAGCATCTATCCTTTGAGTGGCAAACAATCCAATTATACTCTTTAAGCTTTGTTTTGGGTTTTTTTTTTGAGATAGCGTCTCACTCTGTTCTCCAGGCTGGGGTGTAGAGGCAGGACCACGTCCCACTGCAGCCTTGACCTCCCAGACTCAAGCGATCCCCTCACCTCAGCCTCCCTAGTAGCCAAAACTCCAGGCATCCATCACTAAGCCCAGATAATTTTTCTTTTCTTTTTCTTTTTTATTGCATTTTAGGTTTTGGGGTACATGTGAAGAACATGCAAAATTGTTGCATAGGTACACACATGGCAGTGTGATTTGCTGCCTTCCTCCCCTTCACCTATATCTGGCATTTCTCCCCTTGCTATCTCTCCCCACCTCCCCACCCCCCGTCCCTCCCCCTTTTCCCCCAAACAGACGCCAGTGTGTAGTGCTCCCCTCCCTGTGTCCATGTGTTCTTATTGTTCAACACCCGCCTATGAGTGATAACATGCGGTGTTTGATTTTCTGCTCTTCTGTCAGTTTGCTGAGAATGATGGTTTCCAGGTTCATCCATGTCCCTACAAAGGACACGAACTCATCATTTTTGATGGCTGCATAATATTCCATGGTGTATGTGTACCACATTTTCCCTGTCCAGTCTATCATCAATGGGCATTTGGGTTGGTTCCACGTCTTTGCTATTGTAAACAGTGCTGCAATGAACATTCGTGTGCATGTGTCCTTATAGTAGAATGACTTATAAACCTTTGGATATATACCCAGTAATGGGATTGCTGGGTCAAATGGAATTTCTATTTCTAGGTCCTTAAGGAATCGCCACACTGTCTTCCACAATGGTTGAACTATTTTACACTCCCACCAACAGTGTAAAAGTGTTCCTATTTCTCCACATCCTCTCCAGCATCTGTTGTCTCCAGACTTTTTAATGATTGCCATTCTAACTGGTGTGAGATGGTATCTCAATGTAGTTTTGATTTGCATTTCTCTAATGACCAGTGATGATGAGCATTTTTTTCATATATTTGTTGGCCTCATGTATGTCTTCTTTTGTAAAGTGTCTGTTCATATCCTTTGCCCACTT